GCCGCCGCCATGGCATTCGCCCGCCGCCTCCGTCGCCGCCGCCGTCGCCCCCGCTGCATGTGGTCGTGGTCCTCGTCCTCGTGGTCGTAGTCCTCGTCCTCGTCGTCGCAGTCTTCGTCCTCGTCCTCGTCCTCTTCGTCGTTCTAGTCCTCGTCCTCGTCCTCGTCCTCGTCGTCGTCGTCGTCGTCGTCGTCGTCGTCGTCGTCGTCACGGGACTCGTTCCTCGCATGTTTTTTTTCCTTGGCGGCCACAGGGCCCGAAAGCGGCACCTGGGCGCCAGAAACAGGAGGAGTCTTCGTTCTTTTTGTGTGTTGTGTAGAATATTTTTTCCCAACCCTCCTGTGTTGGGTTCTCGTTTTGAATAGAGCAGTGTGGTCTCCACCCTCCTTCTCCCGCCTCCTCGCTCCTGCCTTCTGTGCTCTCCTGCCGTCTGGTTCCTGATTCCTGCCTCGCCGTCTTGTCTGTTGGGTGGCCTTGCCTAGGGGTTGCGATCACTGGGGGGGGGCTGCGATCTGCGCAACTGTCGCCACTTTCGTGGGCTCCTGGGAGGCCTAGCGGAGGTACGTCATACGCGGATCACCACGGGACCTCGCCGCCCCCTTGGGGGGGTGCGATCTGCGCAATTGTCGCCAGTTTCGTGGGCTCCTGGGAGGCCCAGCGGAGGTACGTCATACGCGGATCACCACGGGACCTCGCCGCCCCGTGGGGGGCTGCGATCTGCGCAACTGTCGCCTTTTTTCCTGGGAGGCCCAGCGGAGGTACGTCATACGCGGATCACCACGGGACCTCGCCGCCCTTGGGGGGGTGCGATCTGCGCAATTGTCGCCAGTTTCGTGGGCTCCTGGGAGGCCCAGCGGAGGTACGTCATACGCGGATCACCACAGGACCTCGCCGCCCCCTGGGGGGCTTCGATCTGCGCAATTGTCGCCACTTTCGTGGGCTCCTGGGAGGCCCAGCGGAGGTACGTCATACGCGGATCCCTACGGTTCTTCTTGCTGCGTTCTTCTGAAATCACTGCTGGGTGTTTTTTTTCCGCACTGCGGGTCCTTCGGAATGCCAGTCAGCATTGAGTGGTCCTGAGTATCAGTGCCACGTGTATAGACAGGGTTCGGTACGTCACAGGGGAATTATAACATTAGCCAAGCGAAAGACCCAACCGTATGCAATGTGTGTGTGTGTGTGTGTGTGTGTGTGTGTGTGTGTGCTGCCGTTGTATGCGCCGCATTCGCTGGAGCTCCCTACGGGGCCACAAAACGTGTGAGGGGTATGCCAACAAGGACTATGTGGGCGCATGCGAGCGCTGGCATTTGGGCCTGTGGTGGAGCTCCATACGGGGCCACAAAACGTGTGAGGGGTGTGCCAAAATGGGTGCGGTGCGAGCGCTGGCATCTGGGCCTTCGGTGGAGCTCCCTATGGGGCCACAAAACGTGTGAGAGGGGTGTGTCAAATTGGAGGCGGTGGGCGCATGCGAGCGCTGGCATTTGGGCCTTCGGTGGAGCTCCCTATGTGGCCACGAAGCGTGTGAGGGGTGTGTGCCAAAATGGGTGCGGTGGGCGCATGCGAGCGCTGGCATCTGGGCCTGTGGTGGAGCTCCCTATGTGTCCACAAAACGTGTGAGAGGTGTGTGCCAAAATGGGTGCGGTGGGCGCATGCGAGCGCTGGCATCTGGGCCTGTGGTGGAGCTCCAGATGGGGCCACAAAACGTGTGATCGGTGAAGCTCCTTATTGGGCCACAAACCGTGTGAGGGGTGTGCCAAAATGGGTGCGGTGGGCGCATGCGAGCGCTGCCATCTGGGCCTTTGGTGGGGCTCCCGATGGGACCACGAAACGTGTGAGGGGTGTGCCAAAAGTGGGGGGGCGAGGAGGAGGGGAAGGATGGGAGGGAGGGGGCACCGGGAGGAAGGAGTGAGACGCGGGGCGCTGTCTCTTCAAAACGATGACCCAACACCACAGGATGGTTGGGAACAGCACATATCTTGATTGATACACATTTTCTGTCATACAAATAATCGCTAGAGGCCAGGGGGCACCTTGTCGCTGCCTGTCGGAGGGCGCAACCTGCACACCCACACCGATCCTGGCCGGGCCGGTCCTGGGCCCGGGATCGGTGCACGTGTCTCCCTGGCCAGGCCAGGAGGGCGTGTGTACCGATGCTTGGCCCACTCGACGCGGAAGTCTTCCGCGTCTGAGTGCCCTCCTCCTCCGGTCCTCCGCGCGGCCGCCCTTGTCCTTTTTCCCTTCCGGCACGCTGGCCAATTCGCCTTTCGGTCGCCCCGACTCGCCACCTGCAGCTTCTCTGCCTCGCCGCTGGTGTGGGTGACGCATGCAGGCGGTGGCACTGGGGCCTTCGGTGGAGCTCCCCATGGGGCCACGAAGCGCTATACTGGGTGGGCGAAACGCAGGGAGGAGGGACGAGGGGGAGGGAGGAGGGAGGAGGGAGGGCAGGAGGAACTCGGGGACCGCCTCCTCAAAACGAGGACCCAACGCCACGGGATGGTTGGGAAGCAGCGTGCCGATGCCGGGCCCAGGGTGGGCCCGGGCCGGCGTCGGCGCGGGTGCGCAGGGCCGCTCGGGCCCAGAGGTCTGGGCCCGGGTGCGGCAGGCCGGCCTCCAGGCCTCTCCAGGGGTGGCGGTCTGCCCGGAATTCCGGGTGGGATTCCGGGTTGGATTTCGCGGGGGCGGAAAAGAGGGGGGTGATGACTAGGGGGGGGGGGGGATTATCATGGCGCGGGCCATGATATTTCCGCAGATTTCATGGCGCCTCGTCTTGTTTCATTACGTCCCAGGCCCCCCCGCTGGGCCGCGCACATGCCGCCGGTCATGATTTGCACCCCCCCCTCTTGGACACCCCCCTCTTGGCCGCTCCCGAATTTCGCGGGCTATGTTCTGAGAACACTGTCTTGTTCTCCAAGAATCTTTCTGGGTTCTCAGACGATTTCGAGGTAGGCCGATGGGCCTGCCGGGACGGTCGGTCCCTGCTAGAGAGAAGCCCACAGGAGTTCCAAGAAGGCCCGAGCACATCCGAAGACCTCGATCTTCGATCAGGGTCGGAAACACCAACCCGACCCCCCCTCCCAGGATCTGGGGCTTTGGGACCCTCCGGACGTGCCTCGAAGCGGCCACCGGGCTTCGCAGGGCCTTTTGCCAAGCCTTCCCAGCACACCTAGGGCGATCAGGTGGGTCATCGGAGACGTCCCAGAGACCCCCAAGACAGCACGAGAGCGCTCCAAGAGTGGCCGACGTGACCTCAAGATGGCCCAAGAGGCCTCCAGGACGGCCCCAAAGAGGTCTCCAAGAGCACTCCCAAGAAGGCCCCCCGAGGCACAAATCATTGATTTTCTTTAGGTTTTGGGTAAATTTTGGGGTTCTCCTCGTTTCGGCTTCCCGACGCTCCAAGACAGCGGTCTTCTGGGCGTCCGAAGCCGCCTGGGAGCAACTATCCGAAAGGGCTCCCAGGTAGCCCAAGAGAGCCCCCAAACGGCACAACACGGGTCCAACATGGCCCTCAGAGAGCCCCATGGCGGCCCTGGATGGCCCAAAGACACTCTCCGAAGAATTGCAAATCGTGATTCGGTCGTTCAGGGAGACCGCGGTTGGAGGCAGGGTGGCCCGAGGAAGCCCCCAGAGGCCCCCAGAATACGCCCAGGAGGTCTCCAGAAGGCCTCAAGAAAGCCTGAAACAACTTTTGTGAGGCCCCTAGAGACTCTCCAAGGAGGAGCCTCCGCAAAATCAGAGCTGAGGAGGATGGGGAGAATGCGTAGGGTATGGTGAAAGTAAGGAAAAAGAAGCATGGCACAAGGATCACGAATAACATCAGTACAGCGGCGATGCCGGAAAAGGCAACAAGGAGTTATCGCTACATTGTAGGCTTGACCTTCCTGCTATTCCGCCTGCATACCAAACTTCAAGGACCAAGGTGCATGGCGCGAAGCTCCACTGCAGTCTTCTATATATATATATATATCTGTATATATAACCATACATATATATGTACACATACATATCTTGCGTGTAATACGTGGCCCTGGGCGCTTACCAAACAGCCCTGTGCTGCTCGTCTCCTCCATGGGTGCGTTTGCTGAACGGTTCTCGCATGTCGGTGTGCTTATGATGAGGATGTTTTTTTCTGCCCTCCGCTTGAGCATCCCTCCTCGAGCCCCCAACGCCTCGGCTATGCGTAAGAGTGACCCTTCGCCGGAGTGACCTCTAGTCGGCGGCGAGCGAGGGGGTGGACATGAGAAGGAGAAGGCCTTCTCAGAAGGCGGTGGGACTTCTCATGAGCCCTCGCGCCTTCCGAGAAGTTTCTGTTCTGTCTTCGGGGAGGGCTTGACTGCTTGACCAACTTCTCAAAAGGCCGGGGGACTTCCGAACCTTCTGAGAAGGTCTTCACCTTCTCACTTCCCCCCTAGGCTTAAGTCGAGCCTGTCCCTCTACAGGGGGAATACTCAAAACTAATAAAACATAGTCCGGGGACTATTCTTGGAGGATTTTTCGACCATTTTGGGGTCTGTTTTGACTATTTGTTATTTTTCGTCGAAAATTCCCCCTGTAGGGGGACACGTCCGACTTGACCCTAGGCTTAACCCTCTCTCGAGAACCCTCGAGAACCGAAAACGGACAATGCACCAATCGGCGTGTCAGGGTCGGGTTTCCGGAGGCGGAGGCGGAGGCGGAGGCGGAGGCGGACGAGGAGAAGGAGGAGGAGGAGGAGGAGGAGGAGGAGGAGGAGTAGGAGGGGGAGGGGGAGGATGAGGGGGAGGAGGAGGAGGAGGAGGAGGAGGAGGAGGAGGAGGAGGAGGGTCCCGCTTGCACTGGCCGCCGCGCTCGGACGGCTTGCGTACGTGGCCCCTCCCTCCTGCCCCCGACCGCCGCGCTCCGGTGGTCACCCTTGCCCCGACCGTTACATCGTGCCCACCGAATCCAAGCAGCGCTTCATCACCATCAAGACGCATCGAGTGCTCGGACGGCGACTGCAACGGCGCGTGACTACCCTGCCGCAGGATTTTGTCCCATTGTACGATGAGGGTGAGGAGTACAAAGGGGAGTACCTGTGCATGCACGAGCTGTACGACGGCACAGCTTTCGGAGCCACGTTTCCGACTATGAAGGCACTCAATGCACATGTCACGTTTGTACATCAGCCTCGCAACGATTACCCACTAGCCGTTCGTACGAAAATGTGTCCATGGTGTATGACAACATCTGCGAGAAAGGCATCATACATTCGGCACGTGTGGACCATGGCAAGCAAGACACCAAGAAAGTGCCCTATCGATCGGTTTCGTTTGATTTTTGGCCCGAGCTTGATCCATATTACACGTGTGGACATAGCGGCCTCATCCATGGCGGGCTCGGTCTGGGACGTCTACCTGATTCCATAGAACGAGGCGACGGAGCAGAGCACGGAGCTGTATTTCGTAGCCACTGGGACATATCGCCCACGGGTGTCGAGCTACAGCTGCAACGTCTTCGATGGATCCGCACAATCGTCAGGGATCCTGGGAACCACGAGCAGGCCATCATGGACGTGTTCGGCTCGACTTGTCTGGATGAATGCGGAAAGCGCCGCCGTTTCGACAACACAGGCAGAGTATATGAGCACAGCACTCCCTGGGCAAAGCAGTGCTTAGGCGATCTGAGCACACTGGCAAAGGCCAGTACAGCGCTACAGCTATTTCCACTTCGAGGTATACGGGCACAGGCCAGACTTAGATTGTACGACTGGATGGCACGACATACAGCACATTACCGAGTTATTCAAAGACACGAAGGCGGCATCGGTTTTGAAGAAATTTTAAATGGACAAGCCTATGATGCGCACGCGGCTAGAGCAGGCATATGGCGATGAACGAAGAGCACGAGGATACACGATACACGATAAGGGTGAGGAGAACGAGGGGGGCACAGCCTACGCGAAAAAGGTCAAAGCAGGCGAGAAGGACTTGAGCAGCCCGCATACATATCATGGTCGCCATATTCGGGGGCATAGCGCAACTGGGTTTGCCGAGCCCATCGAAAGAGATCCTCGAGGGTTTCGTCATATTGGAGAACAAGATGTCACGCCTGCACATGGGGGACCTCGTCCCATACAAGCAAGTCAAGGCCGCCTACGCCCAGAAGGACCAGCCAAACAGTTTCATGAATTTCATGAAAGCACCCCACCTCCCGAGCACAAGGTTTTTCTCAGTGCCGCCATAGAGAACGCCACCATTCACGTGAATAGTATCGATGGGGAGGCTGGTTTTCGAGCCGGTATTGAAACATGGTGCGACAAACTTCGTCAGGGAGACTTTAGCCAAGGTGCAGCTAATGCGTGAGGCTACTTTGCTTGCCGCCGTTTGACACGCAGATCCATTGGCTGCAGCAGTTTCTCTCAGTACATGACTACCGATACATCTCTCATCAGTTACGCGGAGGGCACAGACTACAGCATACTAATCCTTTTCTTTGCCTTAATGTGCCAGATGTCCCACAACCACGGACTCAAATTGGGAGTGGTAATGGGATCAGAGTTACATCGGGCCCTGCCCATCAAGATCGAGTTCTGCTTTCACTGCCATGGCGAAGTGGCAGCCACGACAACTACGGCAAGGATTCTTGCACTCTGAGACTCTTGAGCGCGGTTGCACTGGCACTATAAAATTGCAGCACCACGTTCAATGTTTCACACACGCATGCATGTCGTGTAGCACGGCGCAGTGAGCACGCGATGCGCATACTTATATACAGAGTGTGCCCTGAGAGTCCACTAAGCATGTAACTACATATTTAGTTGCAGGTAGGGAGGGTTGAGCCTAGAATTTCGCCCTCTCGTTTTGCTCTAATTAGGAGGATGGAGACGGCCTAGGGCCGACGAGGGGCCCAAGGCTACATAGGCCCTCACGGGCTCCCTCAGGTGTCCTTCCGCCTCGCCTAATGACAGAACCAGCAGCAACTCAGGACGCTGACAGGCGCCCAAATTCGCTAGGCTCGTGCACCGCGCCCGAAGTCGAACTGCTGCCGAGGTCGCTCGCTCGCTCGCTCCTCCTCCTTCTCCTCCTCCCCCTCCCCTCCTCCTCCTCCTCCTCCTCCTCCTCCTCCCCCCTCCTCCTCCTCCTCCTCCTTCTCCTCCTCCTCCTCCTCCTCCTCCTCCTACTCCTGGGTCGGGCCAGACGAAAGGGCAGGATAAGGAAAGGGGGGGTGGGGACGAAATCTGCTGCATGCAGCTGGCTTCCGCCCCGCCACGGGGCCCCTTCCTCGATGCGTGGGCGCGTCCCGGCGCCAGGAGGCGCCAGGAAAACCAGCCGCGTGAGCTGATCCTCTGCCCTACCCTTTGTGCTATCCTGCCCCTACGTCCCCCCCGACGGGGTTACCCCTGCGTGTAGCCAGACGCTGGCCTGAGATCCCCTCCCCGCTGCGGCGTTCGGCCGCCCGCGGCCAGCAGCCGCGCTATCTCCGTCGTCTTCTCCCTGCGCGTGGGCGGCGGTCCCCGGGAGGGGTGCCCCAGACTCCGAGGCGGGAATTCATGCATGACCACCGCCTGGGGGGTCAGTCTTCGGAGCCCCGGCGGGCGGTGGATTTGGACATTTTCGGGCCTCGGGGGGCCGAAATATCTACATGCCCACCGCCCGCTGGGGTCCACCTCCTCCTCCTCCTCCTCCTCCTCCTCCTCCTCGTCGTCCTCCTCCTCCTCCTCCTCCTCCTCCTCCTCATATGGAGATGGATATGGACGTCGGTTTCCCAGGCGGTGGATGTGGAAAAGTCCCCGCCTCGCACAGACGGGCCCGGTGACCGCGGCGGCTCGGGGGGGGCGCTCCGCCGCGCGGGGGCGCGCCGCGGACGGGGGGCGTCCGAGGCCCGTGCGGTCGGAACGGTTACGGCAAGAGCGGGTGCAGTCGGAGCGAGGCAGTGATCGTTTTTTTACTCCCTGTTTTGCCGATCGGCCCGGCCCCCCCCCCCCCGGAGCAAATCTTGGCCGTCTGTTGGCGCCTGCTTCGAGCGGGTGGAGCTTCCCGCGGAGGCAGCACTCTTGCACACAGTCACAGTAGGCAGAGGCCTGGAGCCGGACCCCCTACCTCCCCCACCCCCTTTCGGCCCAATGTCGAAACGCCGAACAAAAACGCTCACGTATCATATCGAGATCGGTCCAGGGAGGGTGCCCTGGTGTTCTTCGTGCTTGTTGGATGTTCTTGTGCACCCTGGGGAGGGTCCCCTCAGATGTTCTGTGTGTTTTGGCCGGCGGGGGTTCTCGTGCTCCTTGAGGGATGTTCTTCTGACCCAGGTCCGACTGTACGAAGGCCGACGGCAGTCCCTGCTCATTTTGAGCTGGACTCGCTGTCGCTATCGCCGCGCAAGTTGTCCGTCTGAGGCAGAAGGCCGCCTGCCCAACAGCTGCCGCTGTCGGTTTTGGGCGCCATCTCTTGGTGGGTATCGTGCCCACTTTTTTTCCGACCCCATTTCTCAGGAGGGGAAAGAACACACAGACACAATTAATCGTCGATTCCCAGGAAAATATGGGAAAATATGGGAAGTGGGGGGAAGACAAAAACCCAGACAATATAGGAAATATGGGGAATCTATTATTATTTGTGTGTATTTATTTGCGTGTCCTGTGGCCTCTTCAATTTCGGACGTCCACAGTCCAGGGGAGTGCCTCATGTCAATGGCGCTCGAGAGGGGGGTGAGGACTCGGCCCAGATCCGACGATACGTTCTCCTTTATTTGGTTGTTTCTCTCTGGAGCGGGCATTTCTCCGCGACTTGGGCCTCTGGGGCCCTTATCGGCCTCTGAAAACATGGGTTCGGGATGTGAAACTACACTCTGGGAAGGGGTCGGGACCTCTGGGGCCGCGGATTGTGAACATCACATTTGCGGATGTCAGGGCGCGCGCCCGTGTGTGTGTGTGTGTGTGTGTGTGTGCGTGTGTGTGTGTGTGTGTCGCGCGTGCGGGGCCGAGGCCGGGTCGCGCAGTTTCCCTGCGCGTATGCACCGCCCCATAGGTTGGCTGGCCTGGCAGCCTCTTATCGCTGTTCTTTTTGGTTGCTGCCTCTTTGAGGCTTCAATCAACACCAGTCTGCTGTTTGCGCTTCAAACTACCCGCGTCGAGCTTATGTTCCGCGTTTTTTTTGGCCGTTGCGCTTTGGCATTGCAGCGCCTCCTGTCTTTCGCCACCACTCTGCGTGGCCGTAACTGGGCTCTTTCATCATGGCGCGTTCGATGAAGTTCGTTCGCAATTGGCACCTCCACCTGCCGACCGCGCCTGAGGTCCCTCTGTGCCGCCGACTTAATGTGTGCGCATGGGGCCCCGACGCCCAAAGCAATTGGTGTATGTATGTATGTGTGTGTGGATATCATTGCCAGGGCCATGGTGTCTGCCAGATTCCATGGTCCTCTCTTCCTCTCGATGCGTTCCCTGGCCACCCACGTCCGGGCACATGTCTCAGGCCGTGATTTGCTACCACCCCCCGCTCCACGCCCCCCTTCCTTGGACGCCCCCGAGTAGAGGAACCGTCGGCGCTGGGAGTTCGCCGCCGGGAGTGGCCTAACCAGAGCCAGACCGGCACGCTGCTGGGGGTTCGCCAGCCAGTGCCGTTGGGGAGCCCAGGATCGGTGCGATCGCAAGGGTTGCGGAAAGAATGCGCGCGGAGACCGGCAGCGGTTCTTTCTCATTCTGAACAGGACTCGCCGTCAGTGTTGCCGCCGATGTTGTCTGTGAGAGATAGACGACGGGTTGCCCGACAGCGGCCGCTGTCGGTTTTGGATAGCATTTGTGGCTGGGCATTCCGTGCCCCTTTCTCGGGGGCAGAAAAGGGGGGGGTGATGACTAGGGGGGGATGGATATCATGGCGGGGGCCATGATATTTCCCCAGATCTCATGGCGCCTCTTCTTAGTTCATTACGTCCCGGGCCCCCCCGCTGGGCCGCGCACGTGCCGCCGGTCATGATTTGCACACCCCCCTCTTGGACACCCCCCTCTTTGCCGCTCCCGATTTTCGGGCGTCCAGAGTGGAGTCCAGGCCGCTCCTGCTCCGGGAGATTGGGAGCGCGCAGAAGCGGCAAACGTGTCCATGTCCACGCCTTCGTGGTCGGGGTTCCTGGGCGCGACCCCGCGGATGCGCGATCCCGCGCGTGCGCGATCCCACGGATGCGCTCCGCGTGGGGCATCCGCGGAAAAACGCCCCGTATCCGCGGGGTCGCGGCCCAGGGGCCAGGTCCGCGAAGCCGCGGATACGGACCTGTTTTCCGCCCACGGAAGCGCGACCGAGGATGCGCCGTCGCCCGCGCGGTAAGCCATGGCCCAGTCGGGCTTCGACCGGGACCGCAATCGGGCTTCCCGATCTCCTCGGAGAGCGGCCTGCGTCCTGGAAGCTCTGGCTCACAGAGGGGCTGCGCTGAAGCATGCGGACCCCTCGCGGCGGAGCGCGTGTTTCCGTCTGAGGTCGGGGCTGCCAATTTAAGATTTTTCAGGCCCTGATCGAGTGCCATAATTCGCCTTTCAACAGGCTCCTGGCTTCTTCTCCTTATACAAATGGTCCGCTGCTCGACTTCATTCTGCCGAGCTTGTCGAGTTGCAGTTTTCCTTCAACCGAAAATTGTGTAAGCTGTCAGAAGTTCTGGTTTCGAACACGCGAACCAGGCGCCGTGTCGTGCCGGGCCTTGTTTTCAGAAAGTGAAAACGTGGCCGTGCTTTGCCGTGTTGCTTTTTCCCAGAACAAATCAGTGCTGTGCAGTGCCTTGTATTTCGTGGGTGTTTTTTTCTCGTGCCGTGCCATGCTGTGCCATTTTTTTTTTTTTTTTTTTTTTTTTTTTTTTTTTTTTCAGAATGCGAGAACAATTGCCGAACCGTACCGTGCCTGGTTCTCAGAAGGCGAGGACGTTGCCGTGCTGTGTCGTGTTTGGTTTTCAGAATGCGATAAAGCTGCCGTTTCGTGCTGCCGTGCTCGGTTTTTGAAAATTCCCAGAAAGTTACCGTACCGCGCTATGCCAGGTGTCTAGAATGCAAAGGAACTGCCGTACCGTGTCGTGTCGTGTCGTGGCGCGCCTGGTTTTTCCCACGCCGCGGGAGTCTCACCGTGTCGCGTGGCGTGCCGTGCTGTCCTTGGTTTGGGACTGCGAGCGCGCTGCCGAAAGGTGCCGCGCCGTTTTTGGGGCTTCAGGCTGCGAAGAAGTCGCCGCGCTGTGCTGTGCCGTGCCGTGCTTGGTTTTGGTTTTCAAAGCGTGAAGAGATGGCCGTGCCTTGTCGTGCCGTGCCCTGCCGTCGGAGTGCGGAGAAACTTTTGCCGGGCCTTGCCTGGCCGTGCTCGGCTTTCTTTTGGACCGAAGCGCGAAGCAACTCTGCGCTGCCGTGCCTTGTCGTGCAGAGGTCGAGCAGGTGTGCCTTCTGGTGCTGTGCCGTGTCGCTCCTGGTTGTCCTGCTGCGAAGGAGTCTTGGCATCGCCCGGACGTGTGGATTTTTCCTTCGGCGAGGACCATCGGACTAGCATCCTTGATCACTTGGCGAAAAAAAACACGCACGAACCCGAAAAAAATGGACGTCCGAGCGATGGCCAGGAGTGGCCTCGCCGTGCGTCGTGCCGTGCGCCTGGTGTTCAGAGCGCGGGAGGCAGTCTCCGTGCCGTGCCGCGACTGGGCTTGAGAGTGCGGGGGGCACCGGCTGTGCCGTGTCTCGCCGTGTACCTTTCCAGCATGTCAAACAGTTGTCGTGCCCTGCCGTGCCGTTTTGTTGTTGCTGTTTTTTGATGTTTTGTTTTTTTTGTCCCCCCACATCCAAAGTGGGTTTCTTGTTTTCTCTAGACACCCCGCGCAGGAACAAGGGAACACACCCTCTCCTCTTCTCTAATCGCACACTCATTCACTCAAATCACACACACACACATCATCACTCACACTCACTCACTCACCCACTCACTCACCCACTCGCACACACACTCACCCAGC